CCAAGATTAAAAAAAGACAATCGCCGTTAGGAGAGAGTATCGACGAAGAAGGTCATAACACTATCTATCGCCGGCGAGCTTGGGAGGAGGTGGCGGCGGCGCAACTCCTCGTCTTTGAGGCGGCGGTGCTCAGCTATGATGTCAGATTTGATTCATAGGGCTCACCACTGATAGATGTGAGGCAGGCTGGTCATCAAGTGGTCAATCTCTTCTTCTTTCATGTCCAGCAGTGTGCTCACAATGAAGCCAAACTCTGCTCAAATATATATATATATATGTTGGGTTAAGGGCCCAAGCCGAGGTCCGGCCCACTAACCCACTTTGCCGGACGAACGTCCAGTTGGAACACTAGGCCAGCCCACAGGCCCATGTTCCTTGGGGATGGGCGAACGTCTGGGGTTGGGAGTTCAGGCCCAGCGGCCCCTCCCGACGAGCGTCAACGCAGGGACGGGGAGCAGGGCCACGGGCCACCAGGGATGACGACGAACGTCGCCATGGCAAGCCTATAGTCATCGGAGGAAACCCAGTCCACATGGTGAATACCCGTAAGGCCAGGAGACGAACAGCCGGTATCTCCTGAGGGTCCCTTGGGGCGATCCTACTCACTTCCCGGGCGAACGAACGTCCCCACCGATTGGGCGGGAAACCCAGATTCTGGCGGGAAGTGCATTTAATGCTGGAGATTTGGTGTAGTTGGACACCAGCGGTCCACAGGCTGCCACGTCAGTACAGCCACCTGCCCATTGGTGGGTATAAATAGAAGCATTTATTTCATTGTAAGGGGTTGGCAACTTTCTATTCTTAGCATTTAGCCATTGTATTCTTACTCGGAGCATCTCTACTGCCTTGTAAGACGAACGGCCGACGTGCCCTTTTTAGCAAGTAGATTGTACTTAGGGGAGTTATTACGAAGTTAATAATACCTATTTACATTGCCTGCTATTACTTTTGTTTCCTGATCCATCTCATAGTTGTTGGGCCAGACACTCATACACTCACTCCACTCGAAATCTTTGGGCTTACGTGTTGGGTCCAAGGGTTGAAGGAATAAACCTCAACAATATATATATATATATATATATATATATATATATATCCTATACTATATTGGACAATTTACATTTTGACTTGGCTCAAGTTACACTTGAAAATACTTGTGGTTACATCTATGTGGGCACGAGTTACATCATTCATGAGCGTGAGTTATATTTTGACTTATGTCAGCAAGTTACATTTTATATACACTCAAGTTACATTTGTCATCAACATGAGTTACATCTGTAATAACACGAGTTACATTAAAAATTCAACCCCTACTATTGAAACAAAAAAATGATCTTTTTTAAAAAATTATTTTTTATGACCATGATACTACAAACAAAACATATTCACATTTTACGTAAAACAATTGTGCAATTAGACTCTCTTTTTGCATTGTTTACATTCAAATCAATATTTGACAAGTTACATTTTGGATAAGCTTGAGTTACATTGATCAATAACGTCAGTTACATTTCGTTACACATGACTTACATCACATTCTGTTCCTGGACAATGAAAAAAAAAAGGTTACTGTTCACGCGCGTGAACAGTAACACGCGATTTTTTCAAGTTGAAACGGCATGCTTCAAACGACGCCGTTTTGGACACGGGAGCATGATGCTCATGCTACACCGGTTGCAGCGTATACGCACTGGTATAAAAGTAACCGGGGCAGTCTATTATCTGTAATGAGGGCACTGAAAGTGTGAAAATATGGTGAAATTGTACACCAATTTTAATTTTTGTGAAAATATGAGTTTAAAATATTTGAGATCTTAAATTCATTACTCCGTAATTTTTTGTGAGTATTTCTTGGCATTTTAACAAGCATTTAGCCAATAGCTATGTGCTAATATGGGTAAAAATTGTCCACCCAAAGCTTAAAACATGTTATCTTCTTACGTTCAGTAACCTAATAAGTTTATAATAATATCCCCAACAATTATAATAAAAAATAAATTAATCGCTACCATCAATACCTACATTATACATTTGGGGGTGGAGACAGTGAAGGGTTAGAGGGGGCTTGGCACCCAAAGAATAATTTCTGATGTGTATATGTATGTATAAATAGTTTTAGAACCTGTTTGGTAGTACTGAAATCAGCTGAATCAGCTGAGTCTGATGAAATATTGTTTATTAGAATAGAGAAAAAATTATATAAAAAAATAGCTAACATGATCATCTACAGTAACTTCAGCCAATACAGTCAGAAAAGTAACTCCAACCTTACCCTTATTATTATACAATTCAGCACGCAAAATCAAAAGTTACGTGTTTGGTGAAAAAGTTGGCTGATAAGCCAAAAACAGTGTCACCAAACGGGCTTTTAATCTGTAAATAATATGTTGTTGTTTAAGCTTTAATGTCCGGACCTTTAAAAAAACTACGGTGTCTGTAATGTGAAATTTCGAGCTCTAGCCCCTCAAATAGTATATTTCTAGCTCTGCCACCCTCGGTTACCAATCACAATCATGCGGCTTATTGTCATTGTCATCACCTCCATTAAAAAATAATGACCCGTTTGGTATCACAAGAACGGATTGAATCTGCTGAGATTTATTAAATTGTGGCTAAATTTACTGATTTGTGGAAAAATTATATTTGAAATATACTTTATTAATAAGATTTAGAATGTATTACAAGAAAAATACGAGTAACTAAAACGGTGTTCTACAGTAACTTCAGTCAATTCATTTATACAAGAAAGTTGAACCTTACTTATTTTGATTATTACTTCATTCAACGCATGAAGTAAAAAATACGTGTTTTTTTTTTTTTTTTTTTAAATACGTGTTTGATATAAATGTTGGCCGGTAAAGCTGATAACATGTAAATATGGGTTATCCAACAGTCTTAACAGACTCTAAATGTCACAAAACTATACGTTTTGAACCCTTTTTCTAAAGAAAAATATCATCTGGCTAATATGGTGTGCTCTTAATCCTACAAAGGGCTAATATATAGTATGTTCGCAAAATATTTAAAAAAAGAATTTTTTTCCTAAATATTACTAATCAAAAAGTTATGGACAAAATAGTGACTTAGTAACTTTAGTGATTATAATTGTGTTTAATATTTATATCATAGTCACTACATCATGGTAACTTTTAACATAATTATAGTCACTAACAGTTACCAAGTCACATTTTTGTCCATCAATTTCCAAGAAATAATATTAGTGGAATTTTTTTCTTGAATAAACTCATTATTAAATAAGGGGAAATTGCCCTAGATACGAGTAAATGAGGTTTGGAATCCTAAAATAGGACTGCAATGTTTTTATTCCCGAAATAGGATTGTTACTGTCATGCATGAAAAATACTGCCATGATTGAAAAATATTGTCATTAATTATAATAAATATTGTCATGTCAAGTGCAATGCACTACAACTATTTGGCAGTCACGCCTACAAAATGGCGGTAAATGCTGGATGTTAGTCCTATTTCGGGAATAAAAACATAGTAGTCCTATTTTGGAATTCAAAATTCCATTACTCCTATTTTGGGAATTTTTCCATAGATAAATTACAAAGATGTTTAGTTAGGCTTCGGAAAAACAAGGGATCTAATGGATTGAAATAAGCATTGACCAATATCTTCTTTTATTAAGGTAAAATGGGCAGAAAAACTAATTTCATTTGGATGAAACTAGAATGTGTTTTGAAAAGGTTTGGCTTTTCTATTGGAAAATATAGACCAAGAATGTGTTTGGATAGTAATTAAAAAAAGACACTTTAAATGAAATATGCATAATTACCCAATGTTATAATTGATTAAATACATGATTTTTCATTACCTATAAAAACTTATACAAGTCTGGGCGTATACACATATAATAAAATTCAAATATCAAAATTGTTTATCCCGTACATAGTACGGGTAAAAATACTAATTATCATTTATTTTGACCTAGTTTCTTGCTTAGTGGAAATTACTCTACCTCTCTTTGGCAGTGTCCAAGCAAAAAATACACTTGAAGCTATTGATTTGCAATTCTTATAAAGTACTTGGTCAGTGTTTTTTATGCATCAGCTCGTAATTGTAATAATGTTTTTCACACATTTACAAAGAACTTGATATTGCTTTTCAACTCTTCCTTTATGGCAAGTTTATTTCCTAAAATCCCAATACATATGTAGATGCTTTCATGCTAAAATAATGCTTTTATATTTGATTAGGCAATGGCGCATTGTACATCCTCCTCCCCAACCATGTTTAGAGATAATAGCCTAAGAAATGTAGCAATATAGAATGGAATATGTCCATCCAGAGTTTAAATGTAATGGACATAAAATCTTAAATTTAATACGGAGTAGTAGTCTAATAGGCAAATACTAACCTAGTAGTACTTAAATTTTGATTAATTATAATTTGATAATAAGGTCTGAAGTACATAGTAGTACGATTAGTTGTTGAAGAAATGAAATTACACTATTTTTTTATACATCCGAAATAATGAAATTACACTATTTAGTCAATTAAGTTATCCAATCTTACTCTATTTAAAGGATGTAATTTTATCACATCGGGACCCGAAAAATAGATTAATTATCAATCCTCTGAGACCCTAAAAGATGAAATGTATCAATATAGGACACAAATAATTGAAAACTATCAATCTAGAACCTAAAATTCCATAAGTTTTGATTTATTAATTTTTTTTATTAATTCCATTGCTAATTTTTGTTAAATTTTTCTTCACAAAAGTTTAACAGTTTAATAAAATTTTATAATATTTTAAATTTTTAAAATAAAATATTTATAAAATTCATAACAAATAATTAGGTCATAGATTAATAGTTTTCGAACCTCATATTGATACATTTCATCTTTCACATCCTGGATGGATAGCTCATTTATTAGTATTTATGAAGTGATAACTAAGAACATACAATTTTTTTGCCAAAAGAATGTAAAGAATGTTTAGGAATGAAGTCTTGGCAAATAATATAAAGTTATAAACATTAAGAAACAAAAATTGAAATATCCAAAGTCATCTTTTGAAATTTCATGGATTAGTAGCATGTTCCTTCATGCAATTTCAGACCTTATACATAGTTATCTTGCCAGTCAAACCACAACAAACCACACGTTTAGCATAATTTAATGTCCTTAATTAAATGTGTCTACATAGTTTGTGAAGAACAGAACCATTTTAATTCGGGAACTAAAAATATCCTATACTCCAAAAGGACATCTGGGCAGAAAGGGCAGAAAGTGCATGACCTCCATAGGTCAAGCAATATGCTCAGCAAGGCTAAGAATCTTGAGGTGCTTCTTCCTCCTAAGCTCATGTGGAACCGGTCCGGAAACCCGGGTCCCAATCGGCTCACCGTGCTTATTGATAAGAACCACAGCATTATCGTCAAACTTAACCTCACTCCCATCACATCGGCCTTTTGGCATGGCAGCACGAACAACCACACCATAGTGGACTTCTCCTTTCTTCACTTTTCCGCCCGCCTGTGCTTCCTTGACTGAGCAAACTATGGTGTCACCCAATCGTGCCCCTTTCTTTCCCTTCAATGCTTGTATGCACATCACTTTTTTTGCACCTGAATTGTCAACCACTTTAAGCTTGGTCCTCATTTGTATAAAGGTTCTTTGTTGCTGAAAAGGGGAAACGAAACTAAAAGTTCGCCCACAGTTATCCAGTTATCATAAAGTGCAGAAGACAAGAGACATTATAAATTGTAATCAAACAGTTTAATTCAACCATTAATTAGTTTTGTTTTTGTTTTTTCATCTTATGTAATGATGATATACTTGATATCAGATAGAGAACACATAGATTGATGTATAATAATGATGATATACTTGATATCATTTTGTCATTATTTACTCAGTTTGCTTCAACTTGCTCCATAAATGGAAGTGCTAGTACTATGTGATTCACATTTCTAACCATGATGAGGTAAGAGGTCAAATGTTAAAGAAATGATTACACAATTATGACTAAAATAAAGATTGTTTTAAAAAATATGACTAGTGACTAGAATAGTAATAGAATCATAGTAACTTATGTTCAATTTTTAAAGGGAAAATGGAAACTAATAATCCAATCTTTTAGCGGTCTTCTTACAATAATCCAACCTTTGGGTTATTCATGAATAATCCAACTTTTGCACATCATCTTCATTCACTGGTCCCTGACCGGTTGATGACCTGCTATTCCATGCTATTTTCACTACTAGAATTTTTATCATTTGCTGCTCCCTTTTTGCTGCGGTTGTTGGTGTACCCGCAGCAAAATGTTAAAATTTTGAACTAATTGCGGCGGTTACAAAAGAACCGCAGCAATATCTTAAATTTTTTTGGAGTATTAGCTGCGGTCACTACGGAACCGCAGCATTATCTAAAAAAAATTGAATTATTTTTTTGGGATCTTTAATCACCGCAGCAAAATAATACCTAAAATAACCAGCCTCCATCGATCAGATCCGTAGCCTCCAAAAAACCCCCTCCACATCTGTTCGCACTTCTACACCCATCGTCCAAAAAAAACCCTCCAATACTCCATCGATCGTCCGCCCTTCCCAGCTGCAGCCTCCGAACGCCGACCCTCCCAGCCCCAGCTGCAGTCGTCGCACGCCCTCCCTCCTAGCTGCAGACGTCGCACGCGGCTCCTCCCAGATGTAGCCGCTGAACGCTGCTACAACTCCGCCCAACGCCGCTACAACTCCGCCCAACGCCGCTACAACTCCGCCCAACTCCGCCCAACTCCGCGCATCTCCTCCAGTAGCGGCTGAACGCCGCCCAACTCCGCTCCCTTCTAGTACACCTTTGCCGACTCAGTGGCTGAATAGAGGTTTATTTTCCAACCTTTTATTTTACATTTTATTTAATTTATTGAATTTTGTCAAATTTGTTGTACATTATCAGCATTTGTATTTATTGATAGAATTAGTATTGTGTTTAGATGATGGATAAATTGAATTAGTATTCATTAATGTTTGGATGAAATTAATGAGACTGTGAAGAAAATAGGGACCCGATGTCTATTTTTGTTGCTGAAGTAACTTCAATGTCAGTTAGCCTTTGTAAAGATCAGCTAGTATTGAATAGACAATTCAGGTAGCCTTTGTAAAGATGAGCTAGTGTTAGATACTTGACAAGTAGAGGAGTAAACCACAAACAAAGGGATTATTTATCACATATAAAACTATTAGCTATATATGGTTCTTGCTAACCAACTTGTTTAGGACACTGGTGATCTAAGAGAGTATGTTTGAATTGAAAAGCATGCAGCGCAGAGTGCATCTTTATTGCATGTTTCACCAATTTGTTTGGCATTTTAATAAAAGAAAGGCACACTTTTGATTTATTTGACTGGACACTGGTTAGCATTTATTGTTTTGATAAAAGGCGAATTGAGAAGTGTTTAGGGCAGATTTAAATGTGTCCTCTCATAGTCTGGAGACCAGCCACGAACTGAGTATAGTAATAGTGGTAGGCTCTTTAATTTATTTCGCTGAATGAGGAGTGATGACTAATGCAGCAAAACAAAGTATACTTGAATTGAGAGTGAATGTTCTTAAGAGTGAATTACCTAAATTAATGAGACTCAAGAAAATAGGGATATTTTTGTTGCTGAAATAACTTGAATGTCTACGGAGTATGGAGCTCAAGTAATGAAGAATCTACTACCTATTTAACTCAAATGCCTTTTTTGCTGAATCAGTGAATATAAGTTACTGCATTGACTTTGTGGGAGGGGGGGATTTCGTTTCACGTTATGTAAGGCTATCTTGGAAATGTTAGGAAGATTATGTCATGTTATATGATTTGAGTTATAAGATTTGCAGCAAAAAGTTCAAACTTTACTGGGTTCTCATACTGTTGCCATACAGAATAGAGTGCAATTATAGTATATATGTAATACAATATTCTCTCCTAAGCTTTCTTTTCCATAATCTAATCTAACTAATTTAATCTCAAACAAGTTGTGGACTTTGAGGAAATTATTACTTTAATTGGGTTTTCAGGGAACTGTAGATTAGTACTTTGAATAGAGTGTAGTTATATGTTCTATACTATCAAAAGTTTCTTACCCATATTATTCATTGTTCTTCAAAAGTGATGTGTAATTATATGTCACTAAGCACCATAGTGTTCCTTTCTTTGAAAATAACTTAAGTTGTTTTTTAATCTCTATTTCTTTCTTAAAATGATCTATTAATTTCCCTAAATCATATTTAGGAGTAACTATTATCATACTTAAAATTAAGATATTATAAATGATAGGACCAAAGAAATAAGATAGCCTAAAACTGAGATAAGAGAGAGTTAGTCAATTAGTTAGCCTAATTTATTTGGTTATAAAATCTAACTAATTATATGTCACTAAGCACCATAGTGTTCCTTTCTTTGAAAATAACTTAAGTTGTTTTTTAATCTCTATTTCTTTCTTAAAATGATCTATTAATTTCCCTAAATCATATTTAGGAGTAACTATTATCATACTTAAAATTAAGATATTATAAATGATAGGACCAAAGAAATAAAATAGCCTAAAACTGAGATAAGAGAGAGTTAGTCAATTAGTTAGCCTAATTTATTTGGTTATAAAATCTAACTAATGTGACTTACTTTTTTTTTCTGTAAAGATGAATCGAAGCTGGATGTACGGTAAACGGAACACATTGGAATTTATGAATGGGGTAGCTGAGTTTTGCAAATGTTGTTTAGAATACAGAGCGTTGACTGGTTATGATGAGTTATATTGTCCTTGTGTTGATTGTGCCAACATATATTCATTCCGGTCAATAGAGACAATCAGAGAACATTTAATTCGCCGTGGATTTAGGCAAGAATACTATGTATGGGTGTGGCATGGCGAGAAAGGAGGGTATACAGAAGATCAAACCAAAGTCAATGAGATGACCAATATCACAATCGAGAATCTTTCTGATGCGGAGGGTGAGAATAATGAGGAGACTGAAAGTGAAAGTGAAGGTGAAGGTAACGATGAAGATGATATTGAAGATAATGATGAGAGTGACAACGTAGATCAAATCAATGAGATGATGGGTGAAGTGAAAGATCACTTTAGTGGACGACCACGTATATTTGAAAGTTTGTCACAAGCAGCAGAAAAACCATTATATCACGGGTGTACAAAATACACAAAGCTATCTGCCGTGATAACACTTTATAATGTGAAAGCCAAGAACAATTGGAGCGACACAAGTTTCACATCCTTACTGGAAGTATTACATGACATGCTTCCTGATGGAAATGAAATGCCAAAGTCAAATTATTATGCGAAGAAGCTCATGTGCCCGTTGGGTTTAGAGTACAAAAAGTTTGATGCATGTCCCAATGATTGTGTCTTGTACCGAAATGAATATTGCATGTTGAACAAATGTCCACGTTGTGGTAAGTCACGGTACAAGCGCAATGATGTCAACTCAAATAGTGATAAGAAAGGTCCACCGGCAAAGGTGTTGTGGTATCTTCCCATAATTCCGAGGTTGAAACGCCTATTTTCGATAAAGGCAAATGCAAAATATTTGAGATGGCATGGAGAGCAGCGAAAGAAAGATGGGATGTTGAGACATCCTGCCGATTCTCCCCAATGGAAGACTATTGATGAATCATTTCCAGATTTCGGTAAAGAAGTGCGGAATCTAAGATTAGCTCTATGCACTGATGGAATGAATCCATATGGGAGCTTTAGTAGTCAACATACTACATGGCCGGTTCTTTTGGTTATATATAACCTGCCACCATGGTTGTGCATGAAGCGCAAATATATGATGTTGTCGCTTCTAATATCTGGACCTAAACAACCCGGGAATGACATTGATGTCTATCTTGCCCCTCTCATTGATGATTTGAAGACGTTGTGGGATGAAGGTGTTTCAGTGTTTGATGCACATACTCAGGAGTACTTCAAATTGCGTGCCATGATGTTTTGTACTATAAATGATTTTCCAGCATATGGTGACTTATCTGGGTATAAAGTGAAAGGAAAGCAACCATGTCCGATTTGTGTTGATGATATGGACTCCACATATCTACCTCATTGGGGGAAGTATGTTTATATGAAGACTCGAAGGTTTCTTCCTCGATATCACCCTTATCGCAAAAATAAAAAATCATTTGATGGAGAGCCTGAGGTGAGATCTGCCCCTAGACCCTTGACTGGTAGGGAAGTTTATGAACGACAGGATGGTGTTATCCATGTTTTTGGTAAAACCAAAAAGGAAAAAGAGTCACCTTCTCTGTGGAAAAAGAAGTCCATATTCTGGAAGCTTCCTTATTGGCAAAATTTGCCAGTTAGACACTGTCTGGATGTGATGCACATCGAGAAAAATGTCTGTGATGCTATTATTGGGACGCTTTTGAACATTCCAACAAAGACAAAAGATGGCATTCATGTGCGTAGGGACATGCAAGATATGAACATTCGACCAGAATTGTGGGTGCAAGATAAGTTCAACAAGGGGAAAAAGAAGTCCACATTTACTCTACCTCCCGCTTGTTATAACTTGTCTACATCCGAAAAACGAATCTTTTGTGAGTGTCTTTACAATATTAAAGTTCCTACAGGATACTCATCAAACATGAAAAAGCTTGTCTCGACAACAGGTGTGAAATTGGTTGGCATGAAATCTCATGATTGTCATGTTATGATGCAAGTTTTCTTGCCCATTGCAATTCGAGCTATCTTGCCAAAACATGTCAGAGTCGCTATCACAAGACTTTGTGCTTTTTTTAATACAATCTGCAATAAGGTTCTTGACCCAGAGACATTAGATGAGTTACAAGCCGATGTAATTGTAACACTGTGTCAATTTGAAATGTTTTTCCCACCTTCATTCTTTGATATAATGATCCATCTAATAGTTCATTTGGTTCGAGAAATCAAGATGTGTGGTCCAGTATTCTTGAGATGGGCATACCCATTTGAGAGACACATGGCTACATTGAAAAGTAAAGTGCGTAACCCTTCTCGTCCTGAAGGTTGTATCATCCAAGGGACTATAACTGAGGAAGTTAGTGAGTTTTGCGCTGAGTACTTATCCCACACGCAACCTATTGGTCTCCCAAAATCTCGACATGAAGGAAGACTTGAAGGTAAAGGAACAATTGGTAGCAAAGAAGTATTACCTTCTACTGAGAAGCAAAATAAAGCTCATTTGTTTGTGTTGCAACACCTTTCTGAGGTTCATCCATATATTGAACAACATTTACATGAGTTGGCTTTAAAGTACCCATCGAAAGGTGAAAGAGCATTGATGCAAGAACATAACCGCACATTTGTTTGTTGGTTTAATGCTCGCGTGATGCAACAACTGTCTACCACATGCAATAATGTCTCATCTACAATAAAGTGGTTAGCATATGGTCCTCGGGAGTGTGTGTACTCTTATGAGGGTTATGACATCAATGGATTTACATTTTACACCCAACGTCAAGATAACAAGTCATCTGTGCAGAATAGTGGAGTTACAGTGGTGGCATCATCTAGAGAATATGCAAGTGCTAAAGATAAATCTCCTATCGATGCTAAGTTGTCTTACTATGGGATCATACAAGAAATTTGGGAACTTCATTATACCGGTTTTCATGTTCCTATATTTCAGTGTAAGTGGGTGGAAAACAATCGACGTGGTGTTAAGATGGATGATTGTGGGTTCACTCTAGTTGACATGAGTCGTTTCCGCGACAGTAATGAGCCATTCATACTTGCCTCGCATGTTAAACAAGTTTTCTACGTAACAGACCCTGTTGACAACAAATGGTCTGTTGTTGTTCCCGGGAAGAGGAATATTTTAGGCATTGGTGATGTTAATGATGAGGATGAGTATGATCAACATGAAGACACACCACCTTTTTCGGTTCCTGCACTCTTACAAACAGAAGAGAAAGATATTGAGAGACAATATATGCGTTCGGATCATCAAGAAGCGATAGAAGTGAAGGGATAGAGGGTACAATGTCATTAAATTCAAATGATTAATATATTGTATGAATCTAGTTGTTCCATTATAAAATGTTAATTGTCATGATTTTACAATCATAATGATTTTACAATTAATAGCAAGAGATTTCCATTATGGGTTACAATTAGATGCATAGGGAGAGAGTTCATGCAACAACAACATATTTTTTATATTTTATCTAACATGCAGGCATTGTATACATAATGGCTGATGATGAGGATGATTATGTTATTGAAGAGGAAGGTGGGGAGGAAGTTGAAGAAGATGCTATGTCGCGGCGCATTGCTGATTTTGAAGAAGAGGCTGATCTTAGAGGAGATCTGGAGGAGGCAGGGTATTCATTGGAAGAGATCGAGAAACACTTGGAGAAAAGAAGAAGAAAAAGGAAGGATGACAGTAAGAAGTCTGGGAGGGGGGCATTTAAAGGGCTAAAAGTAACGGAACCCATGTTTCTACAATTTGACTCATTTGGTCGTGCCTCTGGTAAATGGAGACTAAAATTTGGACAACATGTTGGCTTATGTTCTCGCAAATTGAACATCAATTCGAGGTGGTCAGACGTATCTAATGGCTTGAAAGATACTCTTTGGGAAGACACTAGGGTGAGCATTATAATTGAAATAATTTATATTTGTGTTTTTTTAATACTAACAATGTCTTGTTTTATTGTTATAGAATTTGTTTCATCTTCCGGACGATCCTGCTATTAAGAATCTTTTTTTATCCACGGTGGCATGTCGCTTTAGAGATTTCAAAGCAAAATTAGTTTCAGGATGGATCACATGTGTTAGAAAGCGAACGAAACAGGAAGATGGGAAACTTCCACCACAAATCTGGCGTCATATTAGTTCAGATATTTGGGAAGAGTTTAAGAGGCAGAAGATGACCCCAGAAGCTGAGGTAAGTATTTTAAAACACTAGCCAAATATTTTTACATGAAATATAATTACTCTATTTTTAATAGGACATAAGGAAAAAAGCATCAGAGAGTGCTTCACAAAACCAACACCATCATCATATGGGGCAAAGGAATTATGAAGACAGCAGAGCAATTTGGATCGATGAAGGCTTCTATCCTAATGCTTGCACAGATTCTTCATCGATTGGTTCAAGTTCTACACAATTTAATAGAGGTGATGATTGGTACTGTGCAATGCATGCTCGTGATAAGGAGGGAAATCGAGTTATTCCAGATAAGTGTACACAAGAAGTAGCTGAGAAATATGTAAGAAACATAAATCATTTAAATTATTTCATTTGTATTAATAAGGCTATTGTAGATATAATATCTTTGAACAGGTTGAGTATAAGAACAAACAGAATTTGGGTGAATTTGTTCCTCAACGCAATAGAGATGCTTTGTATTATGCTCGTGGAGAGAAGGCAGATCATTCTGGCCGTGCTATTGGATATGGCGGCATTAATGTTGGGTACTCAAAAGCTTTTGGCAAAAGAACTTGTGGATCACAGTACAGTGACTGTTCATCACAGAACATTGAGTCCATGAAGTCCTCAATAAGGGAAGAGCTTAGAGGAGAGATGAATGAAACAATGAAACTGAACATGATTCAAATTCTGAACGAAATGGGTATTACAGGTTTTAACTTTTCTTGTGGTGCCTCTATTTCAACGCCAACGACATCAACAAATCACGCGCCACATCCATTTCCAAGTGATGAAGCACAAGTATTTTAATAATAACTTTAATGGTTGACTATTTGTCATATTGTTTAGATTTGAGTATTTTAATGTCTTCGAATGTTCTAAATTTTTATATAGGGCCCAAGAGTATGTCGTTTATTTTTAAATGATCTTGGAACTGAACAATTGGTTGAGGTGGGTGGTGGCACAGCATTTCCATCTATACCTGGAGTAATGTGTCATCATTTACCAATTATGGAAGGTCATTTAAAAGTAAGTTTAGACACAATTTTGGATGAGCATGTGAGTGCCCCACTTCCTGTACCTGTTCCGAGTGTGAATCTGTTTACTCTAGGTGACGCTCAAGGCACTTTTGTGCAATGGCCACTTGTTTGGGTGAAATTTATAAGTGAGGTAATAATAATAGTAATCAGTATATATGTATATATGTACATGCATATGTCTTTTTGAATGTGTATGTGTGTATAATAAACATCTTAAATATTTGATTTAGTTATGTGCTATGTTATAATATGTAGGCGACAAGTTTTAAATCATCAAAGGGAAAGAAGAAAATGGATGTCCATAAAAAACCAGCCAAACAACGATCTCTAGTGTCTGAACAGGTTCTATTGTCCCTTAGCAGAGATTGCAAATGGATGCACTCTATTTTAGCATCCCGATCTAGCGATGGTCCCATTGTTGTTACATTAGATGCTAGAATGTTCCATTACGAATCTGATGATGGTAATGCTTATCTTACTATCGAGGACATCAGTCAGTTTCTATCTGGTGCCATGCTTAATATTGCCATTATTCAAGTATATGTGATGTAAGATTTTCAAGTTGTACAACTTATTACTATAGTATTTAATTTATGCCACATTTTAAACTCAATTTATTTTTACAGAGCAATGCAGGATTATCTACAGGGTTTGGATACACATACACGACTTGGATGGATGTGTCCTGATTCAATTTGTGCGACTACATGTCAAAATAATCCTGAAGATGTGAAAATTTACATACACCGGGCCATCAATGAATCTCGGAATACGGGCATAGATATTCTTGTTGCTCCTTATTATGAAGAGTATGTATTTCAATATATATTAAGTTGATTTATTATATTTATAATATGAATGATATACAAATGTGATTTTCTAGCTATTGCATAATAATGTCCATATCAAATTACTTGTGTAGTTATCATTGGGTGTTGCTTGTGGTTTGGATCTCACGCGGCATAATTTTTATGTATGATTCGCTCCGGACTAGCCCGATGCGTCGCTTATTAATCATGCCATTGTTCAGCAAGTAATTTTATAAAATCATTCTTTACAAACATGATTATTGTTATTGCATTATCTTACTATTTCGGAACTATGTTGTTTATAACGTTGAGTGTTTTCATAATAGTGTTTTTAGAAATATTTGTGGTGGTGGACAAGTGAAAAAGATAACTTGGAAACAGATGAAGGTATTAGTATATACATTCTCTAACTAATTTTTTTACTAATATTATTTAATTTATTTAACTTGATAGCGAATGTATTAATTAAAACAAATATGTTATGTGTACAATTTGACATCACAGTGCGCAAAACAAACGGGTGGTTTGGAATGTGGATTTTATATAATGAGATTCATGTTTGATGTTGTTAAAAGTATCGCTGAAGGTCACGATCTGGATCAGGTTATTTCAATACTTATTCATGACATATGCTAATTACTTTTGCTTGAAGTTAAGTTATTTTTTAATTGGTTAATGAAATAGTAATCATTTAAAAGGTTACAAATGTTACAATGTAATTATTATGAAATTATATTGCAAATCCTAACTTTAATAATTAATATTGCTTATCAGGTGTACACGAGCAACGTAAGAGATGATGCGCTGTCAATGGCAGAAATCGGTGAAATCCGTGATATGTGGGCTATATTTGTTTCTGACAATTTCTTGTAAACTCTTGTATGAATCATGTATGTTAACAATATACTCCGTACATTTTTGTTGCTTCAGATGTTATTGACATTGTAATGTGCTTTTTTGGTGGTCTAAAACTTGTATTGTAATGATTGAGAACTTGGATGGTTAGAAATACAGGTTTCTTGGTGATCTAAAATTTGTTATTGTGAATTTAGAGCAAATAATTATTAAATAGGGCACATATATTTTAAATATGTAAAGTATTTGCTGCGGGTGTAAGGAACCGCAGCAAAAAGTAATATGTAAAAATTCAACGGCTTTTTTGCTGCGGTCGTAAGGGAACCGCAGCAATAAGTACTTTTAAAAAAAAAACGTTCCCTTATTTGCTGCGGTTGTAACCGCAGCAAATACCTGTTTTTACATTTTGCTGCCCCTGCAATTGCTGCGGTTCAAACCCGCAGCAATTAAGTCAAAACAACCGCAGCAATTAAGCTTTTTTCTAGTAGTGTTTCTTATCTTTGCAAATCATTATACCATAAATCTCATCTTTCACAAAGATAATATTTTGCAAAGATAAGAAAATAACTTGGAATAGTAGGTCATTAACCTATCAGGGACCAGTGAATGAAGATGAGGTGCAAAGATTGGATTATTCATGAATAATCAAAAGGTGGGATTATTGAAAGAAGACCGCTAAAAGGTTGGATTATTAGTTTCCATTTTCCCATTTTTAAACATAAGTTACCATAACATATTTGTGTAAATAAGCTTTATTTTAGTAATATTTTTGAAACAAAACCCGTTAAAAAAATAAAAAATAAAGAAGCTAAAAATCCTCCAAAGAGTCCAATACTATCATGTCATTTGTGATGCATGGTTATCAACAGGAACAATGAACACGCAAAACTCCAAAATCATACTCCGTATTACAGTACGGCAGACAAACCTGTGTGTACAAAACATTGGATATAACCTCATTTGACACTCTCATGAACCCAGCAGAGTTGTGAAGAAGATCACCAAACAGTGAACAGCCTGCTAAAGTAGTTATATCACACGTGTAATAATAAAACCATAAGATATCAACATGCAGATAACTAGTAAAAACTAAAAAGAGAAAGAAGCAGTATGAGAAATTATGTTTTGATGCCCCTTTAGTTGGCAGAATCTAATTTGTAGATTTCATATTCAAGTATTCAATGAAACATGATACTTGAAGTAATTTGCAGCTAACCATGAACCTTTCAGATGCACTTAAAATAGGTCCTCAAGTTTCAAATAGATGTTGTGCTTGAATAGAGGGATTGAGCTTTGCACTCACCTTTTTTTTTTTTTTGGGGGGGGGGGGGGGGGCTTTAGAGGACGCAGTTTACATCTTGGTCATTATTATATTTCTAAAATAAATATATACTGATTCAGTGATTCCAATTTTATTGGATGTCTCTTAGGGTTCACGAATATTATATTGTTTTATTGAATGTGACACTATTGGCAGGTTAGGCAAACAGTTGCCAGATACTCACGCTTACATAAGCAAGGACACTGTTCACATCGTGTCTCAATCTTTGTAACTGTCTTTGTATATTTATTACTATGATTTAGCTGTTGTTCTTTTTCCAACCATTATTTATAGGTCATTTGTTGTAAACTTCTGAATCAATTGAATACAAATTATTCATGCCAAATGCATCTCTTTACTTCTCGTTAACTTTGATATGGTATAAGAGATCTGTGATAAAAGTTCAGTGGGACTGACTGAGGTGTCAAAGTCCAAAAACCTTTGCTTCATTCCGACTCAGGCAAAGGCTTTTAAAAATATGGTTGTTTTTCATTCCACGTTCCTCCAACAAAAATCAACAACTCCTCCAAGTCACTCGAGCCATAATGTTCACGACCAATGGACCCAAACAATTTTCGGGTGGTGCAATACCCACTTCAGCCTCCCTCCCCAACCGAATGCCAAGTAATGTTCTCTCTTTTGAGACCCCTATTCCAAAATTACATAAATATTTCCCCGGCTCTTGTCTTCTCTCCAACATGCAACAACAAAAATGTTTCCAACTGAGCTTCATTCTGTGTCTCCCCCAACAAAACAGTATAGCTGAACTGAAAATTGGCACCTCCTCAAAGTCGATGGGTCATAATGTTCACGACCAATATACCCAAACATTTTGAGGGTGACAAAATACTCTTAGACTCTTAGTTTCAAAAGGCATTATGCATTTTTGTTAAATCTGACCATCTCACAGTACTTGGTCATACAACTTTGCTAAACTATGGGGGTGTTTGGATCTGATTCTTAAAACTGCCTCTGCTCCTTCAGGGAGCAGAATTGGAGTGTTTGGGTGAAAGTGTAGAAGTACTTCTGGTGCCCTAATTTACTCCTAGAACCAGTTTTTTTAGAAGCTGGGGGAGACCAGCTTCTGAAAACTGATTATGATTCTGCTTCTGCTTTAGAAAAGAATCAGAAGCACAATCAGTTCCAAACACCCCCTATATATATATATATCCTACTTCTACATGAACCCTCAGACCCAAAAATTATGACAAAGTCACATAAATAATACTCCCTCCGATTCAAAAACAAGTTCCACATTTGACTTCACACATATTAAGAAAAGAAATTTGACTTTAATGTGGAGTGCACTGTTTGGCACTGTTTGGATCTGTTTTGATGTAGATAATTTGCCAAATAAGGAAAGGTTTGAAAGTGGAACTTAATTTTGGAACTGCCCGAAAAGGAAAGGTGGAACTTCTTTTTGAATCGGAGGGAGTATAAACCAATAACCAAGCTTAATAAACACAAAAATCAGTCACAAAAGAAACAAAATAAATATTCAAACAGTAGCAAGAGACGTGTTGAATACCAAAATCAAAACTCATGTGAAATCTAAAAAAACATAAAAACTTTATGATCAATTATCAGTAAAAACGGTTATTATCATCATCCAAAAAACATAAAGACTTCATATTGATTCCTATGGACTAATAAATATGCAGAAGTACACAAAATAACTAAGTCTAGGCTGCGTAGGTGTACTGCCAGAACGGTAAAAAAAAACAACTTCAAGCAAATAAAATCCTTCGATTTACATATTTAAACCTCTGTTTTTCAAACCTCTTAGACCTAACCGCGCCCCATGCATGCTTTTTATAACTAAAAGGGAATACTACCTTCAGCCTACCTCATCAACCGAATGCCAAGTAGTGCTCTCTCTTTTGAGACCCCTATAGCAGAAATACATAAATATTTCCCTCACAACCGCAGTAAGTTTGACCCTTGTGTTTGAAAATGTGAGTCCATTGCTTATTCACAAACACAAAAGGAATATAAATGTGATGACCCAACAACCGAAGTCTATGTCAGTATGGAACTATGGATGTTACATTCTTTGGCAAGCTACTCCCACTGGATGCACTCCAAGGATCAGAACCGTTGATAGCTCCAAGAGATGAGGATTGTCCTACTCTATCAGGTATCTCTCATTACCTGGACATTGATCTACCTATTGTTGTTAAAATACATATCCTATAATCGTTTGTCTACTCGATTTCACGTGTTTACATCTAATCTTGACAACACAAGTATCCCTAACAATATTCAAGAAGCTTCGAGTGTCCCCAAGTTCAAAAAAGTTATTATGGAAGAAATGAGGGTTCTCGAGCAATATGAGACATGGAATTTAATAAACCTGTCTAGAGGAAAGAAACCAGTTGGGTGTAATTGGTTGTTTACTGTGAATACAATGTTGATGGAACAATTAAGCAATATAAAGTTCAATTGGTAGCAAAAGAGTTCAAACTGACATATGGCTTTGATTACAACGAAACATATACGTAGTATACTAGTAGCAAAGTTCAACATTATCCAAGTTCTTTTGTCGTTAGCAGTCAAAATGGACTGTCGTCTTCAACAACTAGTCCAAAAAACCATACTTCAAGGATATAATCAAGGATAATTGGATCATACTATGTTCTACCAAAAAAATAAAAGAATGTAAGAAAACCAACTTGATTGTTAATGTGGAATTGTAGATGACATCATCATGACATGGATAACATGGTAGAAATGTGCACACTTCTATTTCTAGATAATGCACAACTCTCAAATCTAGCGGACCAGATTCATTACCATTTATCTCATTAAACTGCACTCTCAATTGATCTTTACTCTATATAAGTAAATAAATATTTATATAAACTGTGATTCCTGTAAAAAGCACACTTCACGTGCCAAGGTGCACATACGGTGCATTTCAGTGCAGATCCCATTGTGAGTAGTGCGATTGGGGTCCGTAGACTTTTTAAAATTATTCACACAAATGTTACTGCTTTTTCATGATTCATGATGATATTGTACAATCTAACATGCAAGATTCTTTATCATTACTCACCTAAAGGCTTGTTTGTGTTTGATCCAAAATCTATATATACGAAGTGGTATGTATATGTGTGTATGTATGGATGTATATTGGATCAAATGAAAATATGATCGGAGAGAAATGAGAATGAATCTGGGCATTTTCTCAAATTGAAAATGTGCAATGCCGTAAATGAGAAAATGTGGGGACATTTTTGTAAAGTGAACTTTTTTTTGTTGCAAAATGTGCATTATTTTAAAACACAAATGTGCAACTCCAAAAACCTCGACATGCACCGCTTTGAATCATTCTCATTTCTCAAGGGAAGAACTATTCTCACTGAAACCAGATCATATATATATATATATATATATATATATATATATATATATATATATATACTACTTCCGTCCCGAAAAGAAGTTCACAGTCACTATTCATTGGTCAACTTGAACCACTCCTAATCTTTTACTTTATATATCGAATTTTTATCAAATTTAAAATTTCTTGATCAGGCTTTGTAGCGGGTTTAATGTAGTTTCCGAATATGTAAACTTTTGTTACTAAAAAAATCCGAGTGTGAACAGGGATCGAGTTGCTTTATCGTCAGTCAAGCATCGTAAACCGTACAGGAACTTCTTTGCGGGACAGAGGGAGTATATATATATATTCTCTTTTTTTCCGTATAAATATAGGGTTCGGTTCCAATAAAAAGTGGTGTTCTCATAGACAGTGCGAATGACTTCACTTTTGGTCTTTTTCGGTGCACTATTGCATTTGGACGATTCCGCTATCCACTTTTGATCATATACGCTACACTATTGCATCTCGAAAGTCCACTTTTTGAAATGAATAAAAAAATTGATATATTTATGAAAATGTCATCACATATTTCATCCATTTTAATGCATTTTCGACATATTTAGAGCGTTTACTGTTTAGTTTCTAAATCCGATGCAACATATTCATTATTACTTTTCATGGGAAGAACACTTTCTATTTGATCCAAAGTCTCTCTCTTTATATACAAAAATACCATTGATACACGAAATGTGTACACCCCCCCTAGTTGCATGGCAGCAATTGTCTGGGTAAACAGGCGATACAAAATGTACATAAAATGTGTAGACCCCTCTAGTTGCCTGTGTAGACAGGCAATTTGTTTAGAAAAAGGCAGCAATTGTCTGTGTGCACATGAGAGAGTGCCAAATGGTACACCTTTGGTATACACCAACAATGATTGATATATATATCAAGAAAGAATGGCAAATATACTACCTGCAAGTTTGAGGTGGACAAAAAAGGGACTGCACCTCTCTTTAGACAAAAAAGAGACTCAAATCCAGTTAAAAGACTAAAATACCCTTATAACAAAATTAGAAAAAGCATTTGGTCGACGTCCGCATCCAAGTTCACTTCTTTCTAATCTGCGCGTGAAGAAGACTCCCGTCCAGTGTCCCAGCATCGCCGCCCAGCGTATGCCGCCACAGGTCCCAACATCGCTGTCCAGCCTACGCCGCCACAGGTCCAAACATTGTTCCCACCATACGCCGTCTTCATCCCCTATCGTACGCCGCCACCTCCTTCCTCCATCGTACGCCGTCGCCGTCTACCTCATCTTTTCTTCTTCTTTTGTCCGATTTTGGGGATGCGACTGACAATGCCTGTAATAGTCAGATTCGACGGCGGCGGCTGCGCTCGGTAAAGATATAGGAAGAGATGCGGTGGCTAGGGTTTATTAGCGGTGGTGCGGCGGTTGGGGTAGGCAACTACGGCAGATGGTGGGGAAGGGGAGCGGGGGGTGGCGACTGGAGTGTGGCAGCGACGGGGCTGGGGAGTAGCACGGCAGTGATGGTGCACGGATTGGGAATGTGGATTGGGTGAGAAGGAGGTGGTTGTAGAGGGGTAAAGCTGGAGAGGGAGGCTAGGGCGTTGGGGGAGGCAAGAGAGGGGGCTGGGGAAGCTGGCCGTCGGAGAGGTGTGCTGGTGGGTTGCCGGTGGTGGTGGCCGTCGACGGTGGCTGCGCTACCGTCAGTAACTGTTGTGATTGGTGGTGGTGGTAGCGGTGGTCATTATCGGATTGGGTATATCGGATTAGGTATGTGTAACGGGTCAGATCAGATAACTTTAATTGATCAGGTAACAGTAATTGATAGATCGGGTGACTAACTGGTCGGATCGGGTAACTGTAAGTCTGTAACTAATCGGGTCCGGCAACTGTAACTGGTCTAATCGGGTTACTATAATTGGTCGAATCAGATAAATGTAACTGGTTGATTGAGTAACTGTAACGGGTCGGATCGGGTTGCCCTGTAACTGATCAGGTTGAGTAATTATAATTGGTCAAATCGAGTAACTATAATTGGTCAAATCGGGTAGCTATAACTGATCGGGCGGGTAATTGTTATTGATCAGGTCAAATAATTGTAAATCATAACGGCGGAGGGTTATAAAAGTCAAAACAAATCTCTTTTATCGGTCTAGCATCTCCAGAACGTCGGAAATGGCTCTAAGGAGTGCATCTATACGTACAACTTGGCTCAAAGGAATGCATATATATGTACAAAGTTGACCAGCAGGGCAGCAGGGGCATATGTGATATTTGCTTCCCGATTTTTTAAATGAGACTACCGAATGGTCTCTTTCTTGGAAATTAATAAAAGAGGTCTTATATTTGTCCATGACCAAACCCCGTATATCAATATATAGACTTGACCCTTGAACTTCCAACTCCAAAACCCTCCATCCAAATACACTCTAAATAACTGCAACATCAAGGACTTGCGGTTAAAAATGGCACCTCTTACCACGGAGCAGACGATAAGAAGATGACGCCATCACTAGAGACAAATTTACGGAATGAACTTGCAGGAGCACTTATTTTTCCCTGATAATAAAGATGCACTTGTCAGTCCAGTAATATAATATAAACCTGGCAGAGCAAAACATAAAACATAACTATGTTGACTAGAGGAATTCAACAACCTACAAATCCAGCATAAAAACTATATTCAAAAAAATGTCAAGTAAAAGATATCAACTAGAAGTCCATTTGGAAACTCGGCAAGCTTTTTCTGGAAAATCATTTCTACAACTAACCATTTTTCCCATATCCCAAATATTCAATGTATGAGACTTACTTAAATAAAGTATTAGCAAATAAGCAACAATAATGGTGGTACCAAACAAGAACTATAATACTCCCTCCGTTCTCTAATAGATGGGAGTATAGAGTTTGGCACAAGTTTTAAGGGGAAAATAATAGGGGTAGTGTAAAAGGTGTAGTGGATTGTGTTTGAATAAAAAAGTAGGAAAGAGAATGAGGGTATATAGGTATATTTAATGGAAAAACTTTCTAAAAATGGAAAGGGGGACAAATATTAAAGAACACCCCAAAATAGAAAGTGGGACATATATTAGAGAACGGAGGGAGTAGCATTTTATTATGTTATTTGAGGCACGATAAGAAGCAGAGGTTTAAGAGCCCCAATATGAGACTCTTAATATTTAAACTTGCTGAATATATTTTATCAATGTTGTGTCCAGTGTCCACATTACTTTGTCAAACAAAGAACTTTATCTTAAAAATTGAGGTTTTTATACAAGATGTAGTAACTGCCCCAGCTAAAGTTTGTTAAAAGTTTTGGTCAGGAAACAAGATATTGAACCCCACTAGCCAATTGATACAAAGTTAAATAATAATCTGTATCATTCATAACCCATCTGCTGTCCTTACCTTAGATCTATAGGCTTAGAAAACAGTATAAATTGCATTTGTTTCACTTGATGAAACAAAGGACTAATGCAAAAAGAAAGTATGAGGCGACTTACTCCAAACTTCTTTAATAGTTTACGAAGTTTAAATATAGATATGATAACTCTGAAAGCAAGTGAAAAAAAATGGTACCATCCATTATTCCCTGTAGTCCTTATCTTAGATCTATTGGCTAGGTTACAAAACAATACAAATAAGAGGCACTCTTGTACTTTCTAAATTAAAGGCATAATGTATAAAGAAGTAACAGGTGACCTGCTCCTTACTTCTTTATACTCTTTCATCGACCTACTCCTTACATATTTGTACTATCACCATGTACACCATAGTCACGACTCACGAGAACAAATAAGTTATATATTTGTAATGTCAGAGCATAATACTTGGAGCAGTATGCGGAAAATCAGAATGAGATGAGGAAAATTGTATACGTCCATACAGTAGAGTCTGGAGTAGAAAAAATTGGGGTTTCTAAAGAGATTTTTCTATACGGCAAAAGGGGGTTTATCGGATCGATATAATCTTCTAGCAAAAAGGATTGGATAAGAATAAATGTACAACACCAAACGTCGCGGTAATGGTTTTCAATAGTTTTTTAGTCTTCTTTATATATGTAATGCTAGCACCTGTAATGGGATGAGGAGAACTTTTAAAACACTTGCCACTCTGCCAGATCAAAAGATCGTGATGTACATCACACATGATAATAAAAAGTTGTATGTGAGTGCTTAGACATTATCACTAACTCGATATGACACTTCAAATCAAAACATTAATAACTAAATGAATGCAATGATGATTTAAAACTTTATATATCCTAAATCACATGGTGCATGCAACTATGCAAGCATGAGTTAGAAGTCAAACAAGCTATTCTACAACCTCTATAAACAACTATCTCTTTCTCACTATTGAGAAGGCTATACACTTCGTATGTGTCTTCAGCCCCTATCATAAACTCTAAATGACTATGAATAAAGCCTAAAATATTTCTAATAATGTCAATAATACAAGGTAAAATTATACTTATGCTAAGCTGGGAAAGTTCTAATACTTTAAAAAGATATACTGTCCAATGATGATAGATCCTAGACAAAACTGTTTTTGGTGAGATGATAGATAAATGTGTAACATATGTGATATGTTATCTAAGTAACCTTTATGCCAAGTATTCTAGGAAAGTAAAACTATACCAGAAGTCCAGAACTCTGGCGAAAACGCCGAAAAGTAAAACAATCTGATATCTAGTTATATAGTTACAAAAGATGAGAAAAACATGTGAGCCATCGGCAACTCTTGGTTAACTGATCACTGATGGACCAGCTGCATTTGAAAAAACATATGTGTTTGTAGTTTGGATTCTTTTTCAAAGTTTTCAAGTCACTTGGACTTCTTCTGGACTGGAGGAAAAGTTGGTGCATTCGGTTGGCTTCAGAAACAAGAAGTGGCGGTACAAAATCAGAAGAAGAGCAATGCAGATAGCTGTGAAACTCCTGACAGGCAGGACATTCACCTTGGTGGTTATACCATTTGATGGGTCTGAAAAATTTGAAGGGAAAGATCAAGGACAAGGAAGGAATGCTGCCTGACCAGTAGCCACTTATCTTCAAGTGCAAGCATCTGGAGGACAGCTGCACACTAGCCTACTTCAACACTCAAAACTTGTTCACTCTCCATCTCGTCATGCAACTTTGTGGTAGTATCTTGATGGCTAGGGTTACTTTGATCGGCACCAATAATTATGGCAACAATTAATATTGAGGGATATGAAAATGCTAGAGATTGATTGATAGTAAGAATTAATGGACAAATAATCAGGAATTTTAGCACAAACCGATCATTTGGGCTGCTCCTAATTAGCAGCTAATGAGAATTCTATTAATGTAAAAGGCCAAGGTCCACTATTAACCTAGAAGCAGGTTTGAAGGGCTACTACATTTCCCACTAGAACACCTCAACTTTAAATAATAATAATAAGAAGAAGAAGAAAATTGGCAGCAGACAAGTCGAATGTTTACCAAAATTATGGGATAGTAGATTCTGTCCATTGGGATTCTCATGGAGGTAGCCCGACGAAAAAAGGTGTAGGGGTACAAGATTCTCATTTTTGACAGAATCTGTCCTGATTGGTTTACCATTGCAATGGTGTGACCCAAATATGGTTCCCTAATCTAGAACAAGGACCAATGGCAGCACACATGTACATTGTGGTAGTTTTTCTTCAAATACCTCTCTGAGGAATAAAACCATGGGTGAAAATTCTAGGTTTTGACCATTTAAATGACATTTACATTCAATTCCTCTTATTGACAAAATATCTTAGTTCAGATCCACTGTAAACTGGAACAATGGGCAGCTTCATTGTCTCAGTTAATTACATGAAACTATGTGGCTGTAGCTGGAAAAGAATTAGTTTTATCTACGAACTTGAGCCCTACCCCTCACTACCAAACATGTTTTGTTTGTTTCATCTATTATTTAAGTCATGATGGGTTAGAGGATCATGAGGCAATTTGCAAGACAACAAAGCAAACAGTTTATCACATTGTTGACTACATTCATAACTTCAAAATCAATTTGGGTGGATTTGAAAAACTTATACAGGGACACCTTACACCTACCACCTAATTATCAAGATTGAGTGTCTTCAAGTATAATAAAATCATGTCATAATGTCATATACTAAGTGGACTTGCTTTAAGTAATGTGATGAAGTGTAGGAAAATAAGTGATTCTGACCAAATTATCTGAGAGTGACGGCATATGTAAAGTGGTCAATCCACTTTAAACAAATTATCACATTTTAAAAACTGGAAGATGAAATTAGGGTACACTAATAAAACGCAATCAAAACTCTCCTGTAATGAAATTTGGAGAGAGGAAAATATATACCCTTGTACTGTTGGAGTGGGAACATATATAAAGACTATTTTTTGGAACAAAAAACATATAAAACTGAAACTTGAATCCAATTCTATCCTCCCTGATGTTTTAATACTTTTCCATCATCTCCAAATATAACCTAATGATAATTTAACACCTTAGACTTTTCTTTTCTTCTCCGGCATAGAAGCAAACCCTTTTACGAGGAAGACGAAAGATCAATGGCTTAAATTATTCTATTTGAGCAACAAATCTTAAGTATGTAGCAACTTTGTTGAGCAAAGATTCTACTTTTGTGTTGAGAACAAATGTTCAGATTTGTGTGTCTAAATTAATCTGCTTCAAAGAAATTAATATGTGTATTGCCTTATGCATTTGCTTTCCTAAGCCCTGCTCCGAAATTTCTTACATATAAATCTCCCGTACATGATATTCAAAAAATGCAAATGGAAATTTTAGTGAAACACATACTCCTAATACTTTAGAAGCTGGCTCAGCGGAATCAGTTATGTTGTGAATGAAATATAAAAAATTGCTGAATTGAAAAACCACGAGAAACCAAATACATATGGAATAAAAATAAAATTTGCAATGGTGCTTCAGGTTAAAAAATAATAATTGTCGAAAAATGACAAAACTTTTGCCAATTGCGCTTTGCCTGGATAATTAAAATCCACCATAATTTTTGTTTCATAATACGGATTATTTGATAAGGTTGAAAGTTGATACAGCTATGACTGAAGATTGAGTGAAAAAGAAATACCTGCAAATAACCAAGCACTCCAGCCTAGCTGGTTGCAAGGTTACCGTGCCTAGCGAGAGGTCTCGTGTTCGAATCCCGCTAGGCACACAAGGGTGTGAAACTCAATGGATTGAGTTTCAGCCCTGATTACTCCAGCTCCCCCAGCCCCCCTCCCCCAGACCCCTGGAGTAAAAAAAAAAAAAAAAAAAAAAAAAAAAAAAAAAAGAAATACCTGCAAATCTGCAAGAATGGCGAGTTGTAGAGGAAGAGGCCAGAGTCCCGAAGTGAAGCTTGTGAAGTGCTGCCGCTACGAGTTGGGCTCGAGTCCAAAAGTTTGTCTCCCTGCCTCCCTACGTTAACCAGCTATAGCAATTCGCAGCCCTATTATTTTCTTTGAAAATTTGGTGATTATTAAAATATAATCAATATATATAGGGTTTAATGCACCAAACCCCCGTGATTTGGAAATTCGGCACATTAGCCCCATGTGATTTAGAAAATGCGTCAAACCCCCTTGTGTTTTAATTAATCATGCGCCAAATCTCTTATGTGAGCAAATTCAATTGTCAAATAAAAGAAAAATGATTAACATTTTTGTATGATTCAGAGATTTTGAAATATTTATTTGCATATTCAATCAAAATATTAGGAAAAGTGATTTTCAAATCGTTAAATTTATTCATAAAGGGGGTTCTGTGCATGATTAATTAAAACACAGGGGGGTTGACACATTTTTTAAATCACAGGGGGCTAATGCGCCGAATTTCCAAATCACAGGGGGGTTGGTGCATTAAACGCTATATATATAAGAGTAACTTTTTTAAAAGCATACAACGCGCCACATAACCTTGTCATGTCATCATATATAACAATTATTTATTTATTTTTAAACCTTTTATTGTTTTAAACATTCTTTTTTTATTACACGTTGATATAGAAATCCAACTTATTTGGTAACTTTAACAACTTCAAAATCTACGTAGGGATGCATGCTTTATTTTAAACTCTAATTTTAGCATTTAGAAACACAAAACCTATGTAGAGATTTAGGCTAACTATACTTTACCATATTTAAACTTTACGTATTAACGACTGTAGCAATTTAGCAAAGGAATCCAATTTTTAAATTGAATTTTCAAAACAATAACAATTACTTTATCCAAGGAAAATAATTTTGTTACGTCGTATTGATAAATTTTGAAATAGATTTGTTATTTTCTAATTTAAATTTGGAAGAGGGTAATAAACAATTGTTTGAACTCAAATTTTTGAATTTGTACGAACTCATGTATAGTAATTAAAAAAGAGTATCAAACGGGCTCACTATTATAATTAAAACATAGTTATGCATATCATACAGTCCTAACTTAATCAATTTAAGCATAATCGATCAATTGATTCGATCAATTTTAGTGTTTTCAAACGGGCTCTCCATTAAAATGAAGGGTTGTTAACTTTTTTCTATTAAGTCCGGTCTGGATTAAGACGCATGGTATTTGTATATGAGGTTGTTTGTTGAAATAATTCCAAATATATAACCAAAATATAAGTAGTGGACAAAAATGTGACATTGATAACTTTATTGTCAAGTGTTACTTGAATACTATAATTGTATTCAAGTTTTACATCATAGTGACCATAAAACCTACACATAGTAACTTATTGTCACTTTTTTGTCCATAAGTTTTAAATTAGTAATATTTTAGGAAAAGCCTCTTGTTTGTTCTTTATGTTGAATAAACAATCTGTAAAATTCAGCTTAGTATTGTTCTTAGATTATGGTGTCAATGAAGAGCTTCATTTATTAATATAAATCTACAACCAATTTTTAAAAAAAAATTGACAGAAAAATGTCTTAATAGACGTCTTAATGAGAAGGACTGTTATTCTCCAACTTAATGATTAAGTAAATTTTTTATTGAATGATTAAATGATGTTTCCAATTAAGTCGTAAGTAAACATTACTTAATGGCTGAATGATTAAGGGAGTGTTTGCTATTGCTTCAACTTTAAAAAAGTGATTTTTTAAAGTGATTTTGGGAAAAGTGATTAATAATAAAAGTTGGTTGTGTTTGAGAAAAAAGTGATTCTGAAAAAGTAAAAGTTGGTAGTGTTTGATAAAATAAGTACTTTTTGTGTAATAGAAAAAGTGAAAAGCAGTTTAAAGCACCTTTCTATCTGCTTCCAGCTTTTAGCTTTTAAGTGATTAATTTAAGCAGAAGCTGTCATTTGAAAACACTCTTTTCAGCTTTTTTTAATCTAAAAGCTGAAAAGCGCTTTTTTTAAGCAAACAAAAACACTCCCTAAGTCATCATTGTCATTAAGTCTATTAAGTCGAAAGTAAACAACCCCTGAATTTATTTTTCCGTTGCGCCACATTATATACTCATATATATGATTCCGAAAAAATCACATTTAAAATTAGCTAAATTAAATACTGCTCGTGCATTGCACGGGCGTGAAAACTAGTTTATTAATAAAATAAAAAATTGCAATAATTTTCTACACTAACTTCGGGAGTGTTTGCGATTGCTTCAACTTTAAAAAAGTGATTTTTTAAAGTGATTTTGGGAAAAGTGATTAATAGTAAAAGTTGGTAGTGTTTGAGAAAAAAGTGATTCTGAAAAAGTAAAAGTTGGTAGTGTTTGGTAAAATAAGTACTTTTTGTGTAATAGAAAAAGTGAGAAGCAGTTTAAAGCACCCTTCTACCTGCTTCCAGCTTTTACCTTTTAAGTGATTAATTTAAGCAGAACCTATCATTTGAAAACACTCTTTTCAACTTTTTTTAAACCAAAAGCTGAAAAGCGCTTTTTTTAATCAATCCCAAACACTCCTTTCATCACAATCAAAATTTACGGGTTTTTAAAAATTGGCTTATATGCTGATAAGTTGGAAAATACGATACCAAACATGCTCCAAGTTTTTCTTAAAATATTGCTAAAAAATCAAAAACATAAATGTGACTTATGAACTACTTAACTATTAGTAACTATAATTATGTTTAAAGTTTACATTATAGTCACTATATCATAGTAAATAAACACAGATATAGTCACTTAAGTTATGAAGTCACATTTTTATATACTTTTTAGAAAGTAATATTAATGGAGTTGTTGTACGAAGACACATTTTTGTCCACTACTTTAATTTTCCAGAACTAATATTAGTTGGATTGTTTCAATTTTGAATCATTGAATCTAAAGCAATTGAATGCACTCAAATATGGGAAAAAAACATTTTGTTAATATGAAATATAACTAACATAGTCATCTACAATAACTCTCGTCAATTCAGACAGAAAAGTCACTTTGACATTGCATAAAGCCCATTTAGTGTCCCTTAATTTTGGCTTCTCCAAACATATAACTTTTATTTTCACGCGCTAAATTGTGTAATATTAAAAATTAGTAAGGTTGAAGTAATTTTTGTAGTTGGGTTGACTCGAGTTACTGTAGAAAATTATTTTAGTTATTTTTATATAACTTTTTCCCCATTTTATTAATAAGTTATATATTTTAAATATAATTTTTACTAATTCAACAGATTCAGACAGTTCAGTCTGTTCATCTATAACTTAATCAATTTAAGCACAATCAGACAATTTCAATATTATCAAACAAGCTCTTATTTTGATTATTACATACTTCAATACGCGAAATCAAAATTTATGCGTTTGATAAAAAAAATGACTATAAGTTTGATAAGATGAAAATGTAAATTGTCAAATGGGTTATTAATAATTAGTCCAATGACCTCCAAAATTTGCACAAGCCCATTGTTTGTCAATATATCCAAATAATTAATTGAATAACTCCACATTGATTTTCCAAAAAAACTCCACATTTGATGATATTCTTGTAGGTTCATTATTAACTCGCGAATGACAGACCTTAATGCTATGCTTGAGTTAGGTGAACTTAGGTAGACTTGGTCAAAAAAAGTAATTTTGAGTAGATTTCAATAAAAACAAGGTGAAATTAAAGGGATATATTGTATATGAATTAATGGCAACTTTTTGGAATTTCATGATGAGGATGGCTTCTATGTGCAAAGTTGGCAAATTAATTTTTTTTAAACCCGGAAGGCAAACCACCAAAATCAGTGGGGCAAACGTCAGAGAACATTTGTCATATTTTATTAGATAAAAGAGAGAGAAACAAGAGAAGAGGGGGACCAGCCCATAACCTCTCTAAAGGTGGCATACCACCCTGAGTTACAGATAAAAGAAACAAATTAATGAGAAATTGAGAAGACTAGACCAAGCCCAATTTCAAAACAAAAAATACAATCAACCAAAATAAAAAATTAAACTCGAAAGCACGGAATTTCATTTTTGTCGAGTTCGATTAAAGCATTAATGAAGCCAGGCAAAAATGAAGTGTGAGTAAAACTATCAGGTTTGTTCGAAAATAATCCAACCTGAGCCAGTGAGTGAGCAACCACATTTACTTCCCTGAAAATGTGCTTAATTCGGACATTCAGATTCATATAGAGGTCTTGGGCTTCCTCAACCATCCGCCGAAGATAAAGAGGTGGAGAAGATTTTTGAACCAAGAGCTTCATCGTCATCTCAGAATCTATTTCCACTTGGAAATCAGAGAAATGTTGCCTAGCACACCATTGTAGAGCTCGGAGGACCGCTTGCAATTCCGCCTGAAGAACGGTCTTCGCCTTAATCGATTCGAAGTAGCTTGCTTTCATTTGACCCCTTTCATCTCGAAGTATTCACTAGTGGAAAAAAGACATTCTATGTCGGTTAAAATGCACTTTCTATAACGGTTGGGAACCGATATAGTATCAAAGGACATAGAAAGTATGAGCATTTTCGTAACGGGTATAGGTAACCGACATGGAATGTTTTTATGTCGGGTATGGAAATTAACCGTTATAGAAAGCCTTCATAGAATACTAACCTTTTATATCTGTTTGTTTACAACCGTTATGAAATGTCTTTGTTATTTTAAAAAAAAAAATTTACCAATATACAAATCAATCTAATTAAAATGTATAAACGAGACGGATTAATATGGAGTATATAAATTTATCCATAAGAGAATGAATTACTGCATGTATAGTGTATACAAATTAACATAAAATATCACGTCTGAGCAACTAGCCTAAACGATGCGCTTGACCACTTTATACATTTACCACCGCCTTTCTATGCAAGCCCACCATGGGCTATTTAATAAAAAAATCTATCTAGAAAATAACATTTTACCAACAAAAACTGCACCTAAATATTTAAGGACACCAACTTAACCAGGAACGAACATCCTTCATTTGTCATTGCACCAATAAAACAGCAGACTTGCCCTAAAACCTTAGCAACCCAAGATCCAGTACCTTAACCATCATACGTAGTAAGAGAAAACTATGAGTTGAAAGCACGAGGTGAAGTCA